CAAACCGACAGAGGACGTCTACAGGCAGGCGCTTATTGTTTTTTCGAGAGCCGGTGATGTGGATAATGTCCAGCATGTATTCGAGAGGTTTCTTTCGGACCACGGGAAGCCGCGAAGCCGCAAACTCGTGGCTCCGCTTCTCTATGTTTACGCCAGAATCGGCGATGTTGAAAGGACCACGCGTCAATTCCGAAGAATTTCAGAAGAGTTCAACCTTCAACCAAATATCATATGTTGGAACATCCTGCTTACGGCTTATTCCAAAGCAGGAGATCTTTCAGGGACCTTCGCCATGTTCAAGAAAATGATTGAGGAGGGTGTTGAGCCCAGCTCGCACACTTTCGGTATAATGATGGGTCTTTGTGCTAACCGGGGCGATGTCACTCACGTCCGCGATCTGCTCAGCCTGGCCCAACAACATAACGTGCAGATAACCGCCCCCATGATTGATACAGTTGTGGAGGCTTATTGCAACAACTCAGAGTGGGAGATGGCTGAGCACGTTGCGGAGACTTGCCTCGGCCTCGACGTCAAGGGTTCTCGCGTAAGAATGTGGAATATCCTACTCTGGAATTATGCTTTCCGGATGGACCTGGAAGCTATCTCAAGGATACGCTCGCGGATGGATGCCGCAGGATTGGAGCCCGATGATATGACTTATTCTGCTCTCATGCTCAGTCTTGTGCTTATAGGCCAGACGGATTCTGCCCGTCGCATCCTCAGGGCACTCCACAGAGGCCGCCGCGTTTACGCTACTGAATTCCACTACGCAGTCATCCTGTATGGCTATCTGAAGGATCGCAATCGGGATATGGTGCATATCATCTTCCGCGAAATTAAAGACAGATTCAACCAGCCGGGACTTGGCTCGAGGCTCCTCGTGCTCAAGAGTCAGATCCAGCGAGACTTGCAACTTTTAGCACAGGGTGGTCAGGTCGGCAACCACGCAAATATTCGTCTCGAAAACTCTGAGAAGTTCCTCGCAGAGACTCTTGCGGATTACCACTCTACCAAGTTGGCGACAAAGTACCCCTTGCTGGGTTCTGGTAGAATGTCTGCCAGGAAGGGATTCCCTGCTGTTTACTACGAATATATGATCTCTGCCTATGGTATGAAGGGGGCTTATCTGTCGGCTCGGAGGCTTTTCGATGACTATACCGCTAGTCATGCACCTAAAGACTCCGACGAAGAAAATTACCATGATATCGCGCCTCTTCGTTTGCTGTCTGCCTTGATGCTCGCACATTTGAAGGCTGAACAGTACCACCAGGTGGAAGAATGCTGGAACTTGGCTTTCACCCGCGCTTTGAAGATAGCCAGTCCCACTTCCCCTGATATTGATGAGTGGCTTAGCCGTCAACTTAACCCAGTTACACCGCCCTTACCATCTCATGCCGAACTCGTGGTGAATCCCGATTCCTCCCAGGCTACGTCAAGCGAGCCAGCTACGACAAAGAAAGACCCGATCCTACCGGCGTACCGCTTCATGCTATCTCGCCCGCTCTCACTGTATCTGCGTTCTTTGGCTTATGGAAACGAAGTTTCGAAGATCTCCGAGGTTATAGCAAAGTATGTGGAGGCAGGCTTCTCCATGACAACCTTCAATTGGTCCACATTTGTGCAGATGCTTGCATCCTCCGACAGATTGTCCGATCAGATTGAAGCTTTCACTGTCTTTGAACATAAGTTCATGCCCAACTTCCCTGGGTGGGATAATCTTCGTCGAGGATATGGGGCACGACCGCCGGGTGTGCCTTCAACCATTGATGCGATGGAGAATCCCAAACGTGCAAAGCCGCCTAATGTACTGGGCAAACTGGGCCGGCGCTACTGGAGCAAAATCCAGCCGGACTTCATGCAGCCCACGTACGTGTCCATGGTATATCTGGCTGCTGCATTGAGGCGACTTCGCGAACGAAGCATCCACGAGGGAGGCACGGACCTTCAAGCTATCTACGATGCGGCGCCGAAGACAATCGCAGCCGTTGCTAGACTGCCTTACCTCCGTGAGAAGTTCCAAGGTGTGCTCCTCCGGCGTCGGCAGGAGAAAGGCGAGATGGTTGATGAACTTGGACGCGATCGCTATGTATGGACAGGAGGTATTCTTGGCGTTGGCGGCCTGACTAGGTCTAAGTCGCGGGTTGAGCCGACTGGTGATAAGGCGGAGCAAGACAGCAGCAATGTTCGAGTCGAATCAAAGGACGCCTCTTCGAATCCAATTGATGAGCCTCCGCTCAACGTTGGTATCTCTGAGCTGGACGATGATGAGCAAGATTCCGATGTTGCACCCTCGCCGTTCAGAAAGACCCTCGACTACCCCGACGAATACGACATGGAGGCCGAGACGCTGCTTGAGGAAAGAGGCAAGGAACTCGGAACGAAAGAGGAATTGATGGACGATGAAAGTCTTGTGGAAGATGATGAAGATGAGTTCGACGATCTGGAGGAGGACCTGGAGATGGAAGAAGAAGAAGAAAAAGAAGAGGAAGAAGACTGGATAGCAGAGGAGGCAGAAGAAGGAGAAGATACTCCTGATGCCGCCGAACAGGACATATATGACCCTCAAGACGAAGGGCAAATCCCTCAAGATGAGGGTGAGACTCGTTGAGTTGAAAGTGTATTTCTAGGATGTACCCCAAACGGGGTGGGATGTTCAAGTTGGGCGAGTATGTATATATGTATAAAGAGATTTGTGAATGTATAGTAGTATAGTCAAAGCATAGCATCTGATCATTATTGGAATTGTACACTATGGATGAAGATTTCTGTGACAGCTTGGTCGCTTTCCCATTAATCCTGCTTTGATCCTAATATCCAAATCACCACCATTTCTAGCTTCCAAATACTCACCATTGACACCCCCCTATCTTCTACTGCGTTATTCTAGGGAGTTAACTCGATTGTAACCCACATCAGGTAACAGCAAAACATTCGTAAGTACTACGGCTCCCTGTCAGCGCTAAAGATGGGATCAAAAGAAACTGCAATGTTATCCACTCGATAACCTGGACAGACTTACTTTCACGTGTTACGTATTACCTCAATCATGCGAGCAACTAGTCAGTGGGGGCGAAAAAGCAGGGACTCACGAAGGACTGCTTATACAAATTGAACTATTCCATTTTGACCCTAGGGACTAACTCTGCCCTACTGCTAGTAGCCATGAGGCTGTCGAATATCCCGGAATTTCTCCGTCTATCCATCCAAACTAGAAGCTTAACTTTTTCTAGCCTCATAAGGCCGCGTCACCAGAATCAACCCAGCACATGTTCACCGGCTATCATCATGGTTTGGGATTAGACACTGTATCATTAGGCAGAAGGGAAATATGAGCTCTTTCCGCATCGGTAACGAGGGCCGTGCCTTCCGATCCGTCAGCTCCCTGAAGTGGGACTTTGTATCGCTTCAGTTTTCTGCACAGGTCAGGCGAAACTTCAACTTTCCGGCCTTTTGACCATTACAAGTTGTACATTCTACAATAACATCATTAAATGCAATATGACAATTAATCTAATGCGAACTGACATAGCTAACGTGAGTGGCATGGCGGACAGACGCAGCAAAACCGGTTGATATGGCTTTTCTTATGGTGGTGGAGAGTGCTCCCTCCTCTTATCTATTCTCGCTGGTAAAGGTGAGAGGATTGATCTCGTCGGCATTTGCTATACAAATCAAGCTAGCGAGCTGATCCTTTGCCTCGCTAGCGTGAACAAAATACCTCAAGAGCCTTTGATATACACCTCTGGAGATTAGAAACTTTCAAGCGAGTATTGGCAAGGTATGTGTCCTCCAGGTTGGAAGGTATATAAAGCACCCAATCCAATGAGTCCTCCTGCTTTCTACATCAGCTCATCACTCAGCTTTTTCTTTCTCCTTGACCTGTTCTTTCCAGCACTCATCCCAAGGTACGGAAGCGTCCAACTTGTTCCATAAGCCCACTGAATCTGTACTGACTGAGCAATTCTCTTTAGTGTGCATGAACCTCCTGCAGCTTGCTTGTCTCCTTATCATTGATCTCTGTGCTTTATATCATCGCTACACCGACGGAGAATGGTCAAGCTCAGCAAGGTCCTGTGTGGCGTTCTCGCATGCGGGTTTATTGATCCATGTCTTGCTGGAGACAATGAAACAGCATATGATGTGATCACCACACCAATCGTTGCAGACTGGGATGATGGCGCTGGCAATATGACAGTGAAGTTGAAGGTCATCAACGCCGACTACGCCTGGCAATGGGCGAATGTCACATCTGACACGACGGACTTGGAGAAAAGAACGGGCATTACGATTCAGAAAGTTGTGACTACAGCGAAAGTTGCCTCCCACGTAATCTTCACAGTCAAGGCTGGGCTTGAAATCTGGGAGTTTTTGGCGGGTCTCATTAAGTCGAAGTCGGACGCGGACTCGTGCACCTTGACCTACGGTACAGATGTCAGCGGGGAGAAGGTGCTGGGATATGCGTACAAGGCGACGACAACGGGGTCGAACTGCGATACGACCGCAGAGAAAAAGACGATTCTGGCTGCAGTGGAGAAATGTGTGACTACTCTGCACAACAGCGGTACCACTGTGGGTTGCTGCGAGTTCAGCCATGGGGGCACCTGGCGTGGGCATTTGCGGCTGAGCGCTGAACCGAGCGTGTACCCGGTACATGCTGTGGATTGCTAAGGTTAGAGTAGGGTCAGGTGGAGGGGAGGGAGGGATACAAAGTCCGGATACTGAGGAGTTCAAGTTAGATTGATGTCAATGCTGTACTGATGTGTTGCAAGGCAGTCATCTTTGTTATGTTATCAATATACTGAAAAACGAAGTCCTAAGACGAAATTGTGCGCGACCTCCATGTTTGTCTATGGAGAATATCCTACTTTTTCTCCTGAAAGTCCTTCATAGAACCGAGTCCTGCTATGCTCAGTTACAAGCAACAATTTGATGGTGATAAGTGATTTAATTTCCTCTTGAGCATTGAGCAGGCCCCATCCCCTCTTCTATTTGTCACGGGCCTACTCAGTATTAGTAGTTTGTTCATCATCGACGCCCAAATCCTCCTCCACCCAACCAACAACATTCTCACATGCCTTCTCAGGCTCCCGTTTATACTGCAACAGAAACCCCTGGACATCAGCAATACTGAATCGACCCTCAGGCAAATACGATGAAAACCCGCCCGCAAGCTCCTGCAGTTTCTCCTTCTCGTCTTCTATCTTCTGCTTCTCCTGTTCGCCTGGACCGCCACCGCTGTACAGACTTAAGAACAAGTGCTTCAGTTCCTCGCGAGACGGAAGCTCAGACCGATGCAAGTCCACATGTCCCGGCCGAATCAATGCGCGGTCTAGCTGCTGTGGCATGTTGGTTGTCATGATCAGAATGCGGCCCTCATGGGAAGACACGCCGTCGATTGCGTTAAGTAAGCCGGATAGGGAGATCGTGGATGCGTTTGCTGTATGTGGGGCAGGTACTGGTGTTCTCAGTTGTCCAAGTGCTTCCAGAATATTATCTGGGAGCGAAGGGATGTTATGAGGCCTATCACAAGGAATCCGAAGTTCACCACGATGAGAGGATCGAGATGCAGAGTGTTGCGAATCATATCCAGAAGCGGATTGATTATATTGGCGCCATTGAGTTGACCTGACGATGTCATCTCCATCTTTTCTCTGTGTGCTTTCTTGGATCCTGATTGTCTCCAACTCTGGGTGCGGGTGCTGATGTCGTTAAGCAGAAAATGATGTTCTGTGACACATTGCCCCTTTGCGTTGTAGACTCTAGGTTTTATACTAGGCGACCAGCAAAACCTGCTTTCTCAGTAAGCGGTATACCAAAGCCACAGTGAATTGGTAGTGGAACTACTTACCAACCTTCGAATTATATGGTGGGGTTTGGCTAGAATTCAGGCTTCTGTTGATCCTGGCGAAGATCCCTGCTTCAAAGTCAAGAAGCAGCTGCAAAACCAATTCAGTGGTCTGCTTACACTTGTTCCATGATACAAGGCAGATGTGTACTCAGTCAGTTCCGACACAGCAGCCTGCTAACCTTCGTTTGTTTCCAAACAAGGTTTCACATCCCTGGGCATGCTCAAGGTATAAGTTACTTTCAGCAACCCATCCTTTCTCGAGAATATCACTTCACTTGTTGCTCTTATCCACCTTCACTAGCTTTCCATCTATCATCGACCCAGATGAGTGTCCAGGATCCCACATCAACCTCTACCACCAACTTCCAAGATTAACAACACGGACTCCCACACTATGAGGTTCATATTCCCCAACATGGATGCCAAAGATTCATTCCAGTCCTAACAACGAGGCTATATTGGATGAAGCTCAAAAGAAAGCTGGGTATGCTTGGCTATCATTCGATGGTGTCGGGAGTACTGGTGTCTCAACTGCACGTCTGATTTCCGGCAGTGTAGATCAATCCGCTCAAACATTCCTCGTCGATCTGTGATACGTCGAGGGGTTCATCCTGACCGATGTCCCTTATAAACAGAGCGATTGCGATCTAACCGCTGGTGTGGAAGACGAAATTTATTAGTAGGTGGTTATTATCAGGATGCTACTGTTGTTCTCATGAACGTTAGTACTGGAAGGGGATATGTTGTCCTCGCTTTATGCGTGTGTTTATGGACATTGAGGGAAAATCCTGCAATCCACTTCCTTTTGGTATCAGTTCCGACTTGTTTGGTAAATTGGCCTTCTTTCCTGCCACAAGGGATTCAAGTTTGTGTCTGTTACCATATCTACAAACTAGCTAACAGGGCCCTTCCATGACAGATAAGACTAACAGGATTTAAACTTCTTCACCCTATAACCTTACCAGTGCCCTATGGCTACTCTAATTACGTCTCAAAATGCACAATTGCCGCTCGGCCTCGGGAAGGGTCTTCTATCTGATGATAGAAAAGCCAGCCCATTTGAGGAAACTGAACCCGAATCTCCGACTGGCAATGGCCGAAGGCCGATGTGTTTACTCCGAAAATCAGAGACATCTCCGAAGATGTCGACTCTTGGAGACTTTATTAGCCACTCACAGGTAATCAAGTGTTTAAACTCCTCGGTGTCTCGCATTTAAACTCTATGATAGGGTAGGGTCCTCGGGGTCTCGCGCAGATCATGAAGTCTATCTTCATCATTCATATATCACCACTATATTAAGAGAGAGACTAACCATCGAGCACCTGAGATCATACATACAACTAGAGACAAGTATGGTCTTCAGGTAGGTCATTGATCTAGATAGCCTCGGTTTAGGAGGTATCTTTGAGAGTCAGCAAGGCTTATGCTGTCGGAAGTTTGCCTAGGCTCAACAATGGCATTCGAGATGAATACTATAACTACTGCTCATCAATCTCCTATGGGGGATGGGCTACTCAATGATCGGCGTCCAGTGTTTCACGCAGAGAGGTTAGTATATAGAGACATACGTAAGTGCCCTAGTTACACTAGAGAGTAAGGGGTCTACTGAACTAAATCAACCATTACCTTGCTATGATCCCAATGGTATAATAATGTCCTGAAGGCCCAGTTCTCTCTGGTATATTTCTACAATAACAATCTTTCAATTCCGTTTGTCCTATCTCTCATTGCTTCTTCTGGGCTCAATGGCCCGTCCTTTCTCTTCATTCGCAATGTACAGCCTGGCTGCTGCCGCTCTTGTCGGTGTCGCATCTGCGGCATCGCTGAACAGTGTGTGTACAACCGACTATGTCACGTCGGTTCTGCCTACTGCCAGCGATGACATTCCTTCTGGAATCACCATCGACACCAGCTCTGTATCTGCCAGTATGTACCGCAACTATACCCTCACCGATTCCATTTTCTGGGAGGATTTGACCATCAACTTCTGTGAAGTATCTTTTGCCTACAGCCACCAGAACGGAGACGACCGCGTAGTTGTCCAGTATTGGATGCCGAGCCCGGACCTTTTCCAGAACAGATTTCTCGCTACAGGTGGTTCCGCGTATGAGATCAACAACGGCTCAGGAGGAGGTGATATCGCCGGAGGGGTCGCCTTTGGGGCTGCCACTGGCTACACCGACGGTGGATTCCCTTACTGGGGTGGCACTGACTTCGATGATGTTGTCATTCTCGGCAATGGAACTGCCAATTGGCCTGCCATATACAATTGGGGATACCAGGCCATTGCCGAAATGACCCAGATTGGAAAGGCCTTTACCAACAACTTCTTCAACGTCGGAAATAACGCTACCAAGTTGTACACCTACTACATCGGTTGCTCTGAAGGTGGACGTGAGGCCATGAGCCAAGCCCAACGTGCCCCCGAATTGTACGATGGCATCGTTGCAGGTGCCCCTGCTATGCGCTACGGCCAGCAGCAGGTGAATCACATCGCTCCTCCCATCCAGATCCAGACTATTGGCTATTATCCGCCTTCTTGCGTGTTTGATACGGTGATCAACGCAACGATCAATGCCTGTGATGGCATGGACGGCAAGATTGATGGAGTGGTTGCTCGTAGCGATCTCTGTTTCCAGAATTTCAATGTATCCTCAATGCTGGGCAAGTCTTACTACTGCGAGGCTGGGTCGACCACTAGCCTTGGCTTGGGATATGGGAAGCGGAGCAAGAGGCAAACAACTTCAGCCACCCCTGCGCAAAATGGAACCATTAATGCCAAAGATATTGAGGTGATTCAAGACCTTCTAACTGGACTGGTAAGAATACTTCCCCGACACCCGCGGTTTCTATGCCTCCAAACTTCGCTGACACGATTCCCAACCCAACAGAAAGATTCAAACGGTGACCTCGTGTATTTCCCTTTCCAGCCTACTGCCGGCTTTGGCGACACTACTGTCTACGACAGCACAACGGATTCCTGGACGATCACCTCTCCCAACTCCAACGGAGAATGGATTACCAAGTTCCTGGATTGGCAGAACGTCACGGAATTGGACATGTGGGGAGTCACCAATGATGACCTGAAGGCATGGATGATCGAAGGAATGACCAAATACATGGACTCTCTTCAAACCACTCTTCCTGACCTGACCCCCTTCCATTCCAAGGGAGGCCGTCTGCTTCATTACCATGGAGAGGCCGATAGCAGTGTTCCCCCGACCGGATCCATTCACTACCACGAATCGGTTCGCGAGATCATGTATCCTGACCTCTCTTTTGCTGAGGGCAATGAGAAACTCAACGACTGGTACCGTTTCTATCTCGTCCCTGGTGCAGCCCACTGCGCAACCAACGATGAGCAACCCAATGCTGGTTTCCCTCGGGACAATTTCGCCCACATGATCAAGTGGGTAGAGGAAGACGTGGTGCCTGTCAGAATCAATGCCACTGTTACTTCTGGGGAGCACAAGGGCGAAGTCCAGGAGCTTTGCACTTGGCCGTCGCGCCCATACTGGACTGACAACAACACTATGGTCTGCGAACAGAACGCAACCTCTATCCAGGCCATGCTCTGGAAGTTGAGCGCCTACACTACGCCTGTCTACTAGACAAAACATAAGACAAGGTGGCCAAGGATGGCATGTACACACATTCGTGATTTCGAAGAACTAAACCCACTTATCACGAAATGAGGATAGGAGGATTCCGTATTATCCATCCAAAATCATTTCAGTTCACTCTGTATTATTACAACTGTTATGGGATCTAATCTCGTTATCAATTCTCTCCTTCACTATCAGAATGTAAAACAAACCTTTCTTTAGAGTTACAACTACTGGCTTACTCATGAAGCCGCCATGACGAAGTTCATGGATATTGCTCGCATGTGTGCCATCGGGGAGTCTGACTTTCATGAAAAAAATCTCACTTGGCCAAGCCCAACCAAGGGCAGGTCTTGTCCCAAAGCCGACGGAGGTCGGAAGTTACAGTCGCCCCCGACCTCCGAAGCGTCCAGCCGCACAGATACTAATACCTCTACACTATTTACTGTTGGGACAGATATCTCTCCGTCGCCTGGCTAGCCAAGAGCGGTTTATCGTTTCTGGTCTAGCGGTTAGTGCTTCGACATTTGCACTAGGCCACACTCACCCATGCTTCGGATGAGGCCGTAGTAATTCCATTTGTCCGATACGTGCCCAGATCATTGTGGGGAAGCCCCCGCATGACATTCATGCTCTGGGGCATGTGGAAGGGTACGGCATTCCTCAAAATCTCCATGTTATAGCTTCAGTCCGCTGGCACTTAGTGCTGAAGCTATGCTGGTCCGAGTAAGAAAAAGCGAGGGAGGCGCCCAATGACCAAGGAATCGGGGGCATGGCCTTCTCGAGTCGGTCATGGGCACCAATTCTGGATAGTGATGTCTTTGGCCTGGCGGTAGCTTGGTTGCGCCAAGTGGGCGGGTTGAGATCCTTTGACTTCGAAGTGCTTCTTTG